ATTACATTTGTTCACTAGATGACACTAATTCCTATAAAACGTTGTGCCATCTAATGGCGGAATGCAGATTTTCAGCTGTAAATGATTGGTTGGTTTATTGTTGCTGCTTGGATGACCTTCTATCCTTCAGTGTGTTCTGTACTCACAAGTGATGAGGATGACCTCAGTGATGGAGGATGAAATCCATGCCTGATGAAGGGAACTAAGGGCTCCACTTATAGACCATTCATTGGAGAGGAAGAGAACAAGTGTCCATCCAGACATGACAAATTCTGGACCTATGTGATTTAACACAGTGATTTCCTTTGTCAGCGCCATCTAGTGGTCATAAAATGCAGTATTTTCCTGAAATACCTCCCATCAGTAAAAGTCGCAGAATATGAAATGATGGTCCCTATTTGGAGCCAATGATCATATGAAAATCACCCAAAATGTGGCCAAAGATGTCACAGCCGGGTGTGAATGCCGATCACATTTATTAAACTTTTATTTAATAGATCTATAAGTGTTTGTGAAATCTCCCACTCACAAAATGTACTCAGCCAATCACAGGACAGGACTCCATTTTTATTCTTTCTCCTGCCATCAATGGCCAACCTTGGTCCCACACTTCATCCATGTCTTTGGGGACCTCTGATCTCCTTATGGACTGTTTCTTCCATGATGAAGATCAGCCATGGAGTATATCTGAGGGTATTATTCAGGGTGTGCTTCTTCCCCACATGAGAGCTGGGATGTCCAGCAACATTCATCTAGAAGACATTTCCCGCACTCAGGGCACTAATACACCTCCAGGGTTGTGTGGCCCCTGATGTACAGGAAGACAGAACTTCAGTGAGGAAAATTTTTCCCTCACTCAGCAGGACAGGAAATTGGCTTCTTCGCCGTGTGAGATCGCTGATGTCTGGAACAACTGGACTTGTCTGAAAAACATTTCCCGCATTCAGGACAGGCATATGGCTTCTCCTCCATATGAGATCTCTGATGTCTGTAAAGATGGGCCTTCTGTGAAAAACATTTCCCCACACTCAGAACAAGAATATGGCTTCTCCCCCGTATGAGATCTCTGATGTGTGTCACGTTTTGATTTTTCTACAAAACATTTTCCACACTCAGGACAGGAATAAGACTTTCTCCCCCGTGTGAGATCTCTGATGTTTGGAAAGATAGGACTTCAGTGAAAAACATTTCCCGCACTCAGGACAGGAATAAGGCTTCTCCCCGTGTGAGTTCTCTGATGTGTGTCAAGTTTTGATTTTCGTACAAAACATTTCCCACACTCAAGACAGGAATAAGGCTTCTCCCCCGTGTGAGTTCTCTGATGTGTGTCAAGTTTTGATTTTCGTACAAAACATTTCCCACACTCAGGACAGGAATAAGGCTTCTCCCCTGTGTGAGATCTCTGATGTCTATGAAGACTGGACTTATCTGAAAAACATTTCCCGCACTCAGAACAAGAATACGGCTTCTCCCCCGTGTGACATCTCTGATGACTGAAAAGATGGGACATCTGTGAAAAAAACATTTCCCGCACTCAGGACAGGAATACGGCTTCTCCCCCGTGTGAGATCTCTGATGTCCGTACAGACTGGACATATGTGAAAAACATTTTCCACACTCAGGACAGGAATATGGCTTCTCTCCCGTGTGAGATCTTTTATGCACAATAAGATCTGATTTACGCAGGAAATCCTTCCCACACTCCGTACAAGAATATGGCTTCTCCCCGTGTGAGATCTTATATGCTCATTAAGACCTGATTTACGCAAGAAAATCCTTCCCACACTCAGGACATGAATATGGCTTCTCCCCCCGTGTGAGATCTCTGATGTTTGGAAAGATAGGACTTCAGTGAAAAACATTTCCCACACTCAGGACAGGAAAACGTCTTTTTCCCCGTATGCAATCTCTGATGGGCAGAAGATGGACTGGACTTCTCTGAAAAGCATTTCCTGCACACAGTACAAGAATATGTCTTCTCCCCCGTGTGAGTTCTTTCATGCACATTAATATGTGGTTTACACGAGAACCCCTTCCCGCACTCAGTACAGGAGAACCTCTTCCCTGTTGGAAGGCCGGTCCGGTCCCGCACAGTCTGAGGTCCTCAGGATACAAGGGAGTCCGATGGTCCATCTACACTGGGTGGTGCCGGATGGACATTGGAGGGAGCCGGGTTTTCTCCTGGACTATACTGTGTGATGTCCTCATCTTCTACTTTCCAGTCTGGAGACAAAGTGAGACAATCCTCGGAGGTTTTCCCTCATCTCCGGCCATGGACTAAAATACAAAAGACAAAGAGGATTACTAGACAGGAGCTGATTGGTTCCTCCAAACCAGGACTGGCTGAGCCCACCAGAGGTCAGAGGTGAGGATGGGGGGAGGAACAACCAAGATGAAGACTGGACTGATCCTGAAGACCACCATCATTGGGGTATTGACTCCTCCCTGATCCTGAAGACCACCATCATTGGGGTATTGACTCCTCCCTCATTATCACTTTCTGTTTAAGGGTCCAAAGTTGGAGGATGTTATCACATTATTATCACCATGTAAAAGTCTGTGCTCCAATCACATCATACCGATATAAAATGTCCAGCTGGGAGGAAATGGGTGTAACAAAAGAGACTCCATATTGTGTGTATATATAGCAGTGGGGGGAGGGGGGAGAGCAGAAGTCAGGGATGTGTAGTATGGAATGTACAACAGAGTATATAGTGCAGGGGTCAGGAGTATGTAATGTACAACATAGAGTATATAGTGCAGGGTCAGGAGTATGTAATGTACAACATAGAGTATATAGTGCAGGGGTCAGGGACTATGGAATGTACAACATAGAGTATATAGTGCAGGGGTCAGGAGTATGTAATGTACAACATAGAGTATATAGTGCAGGGGTCAGGAGTATGTAATGTACAAATAGAGTATATAGTGCAGGGGTCAGGAGTATGTAATGTACAACATAGAGTATATAGTGCAGGGGTCAGGAGTATGTAATGTACAACATAGAGTATATAGTGCAGGGGTCAGGAGGATGTGATGTAATGTACAACATAGAGTATATAGTGAAGGGGTCAGGGTAGGGTAGGTAATGTACAACATGGAGTATATAGTGCAGGGGTCAGGGGTGTGTAATGTACAACATAGAGTATAATAGTGCAGGGGTCAGGGGTGTGTAATGTACAACATGGAGTATATAGTGAAGGGGTCAGGGGTATGTAATGTACAACATGGAGTATATAGTGCAGGGGTCAGGGGTATGTAATGTACAACATGGAGTATATAGCGCAGGGGTCAGGGGTATGTAATGTACAACATAGAGTATATAGTGCAGGGGTCAGGAGTATGTAATGTACAACAGAGTATATAGTGTGGGGTCAGGAGTATGTAATGTACAACATAGAGTATATAGTGCAGGGGTCAGGAGTATATGTACAAAATACAGTGGATATAAAAAGTCTGCACACCCCTGTTAAAATGTCAGGTTTCTTTGATGTAAAAAAAAAATAGACAAAATAAAAATATTTTCAGAACTTTTTCCACTTTTAATGTGATCCATAAACTGTACAACAACAAACTGAAATTATTTTTAGGTGGGGGGGGAAAGTAAAAATAAAAAAAAAATAATCTGGTTGCATAAGTGAGCACCCTTACACTAATCCTTTGTTGAAGCCCCTTTTGATGTGATTCCAGCACTCAGTCTTTTTGGGGAGGAGTCTATCAGCACGGCACATCCTGACTTGGCAATATTTGCCCGCTCTTCCTTGCAAAAAACACTCCAAATCTGTCAGATTGCGTGTCATCTCCTGCGCACAGCCCTCTTCAGATCACCCACAGATTGTCCATCGGATTCAGGTCTGGGCTCTGGCTGGGCCATTCCAAATCTTCCATCTTCTTCTGGTGAAGCCATGTTCCTTTGTGGATTTGGATGGATGCTTTGGGTGGTCGCAATGCTGAAAGGTGAAGCTCCTCTTTGTTCAGCTTTCTAGCAGAAGCCGGAAGATTTTGTGCCGATATTGACTGGTATTTGGAACTGTTCATAATTCCCTCTACCTTGACGAAGGCCCCAGTTCCAGCTGAAGAAAAACAGCCCCAAAGCATGATGCTGCCACCACCATGCTTCACAGTGGGTATGGTGTTCTTCTGGGTGGTGTGCAGTGTTTTTTTGTGCCAAACATATCTTTTGGATTATGTCCAAAAAGTCCAACCTTGGTTTCATCAGACCAGAACACATCTCCCCACATGCTTCTGGGGGAGACTTCAGATGTGTTTTTGCAGAATGTAGCCGGGCTTGGATGGTTTCTTCTTCCTAAGAAAGGACTTCCGTCTTCCACTCTACCCCATAGACCAGACATATGAAGAACACGGAGATTGTTGTCACATGGACCACACAGCCAGGACTTGCCACATATTCCTGCAGCTCCTTTCATGTTGCTGTAGGCCTCTTGGCCGCCTCCCAGACCAGTTTTCTTCTCGTCTTTTCATCCATTTTGGAGGGACGTCCAGTTCTTGGTGATGTCATTGTTGGTGATGTCACTGGTGATGTTACTGTTGGCGATGACACTGTTGGCGATGACACTGTTGGCGAGGTCACTGTTGGTGAGGTCACTGTTGCACCATATTCTCTCCACTTGATGATGACTGTCTTCACTGTGTTCCATGGTTTATTAATGCCTTGGGAATTCTTTTGTACCCTTCTCCTGACTGATACCTTTTAACAATGAGATCCCTCTGATGCTTTGGAAGCTCTCTGCATATCATGGCTTTTGCTGTAGGATGTGACTAAGAAAATGTCAGGAAAGACTGACTAGAACAGCTGAACTTTATTTGGGGTGTTAATCAGAGGCACTTTAAATGATGGCAGGTGTGTACTGACTCCTATTTAACATGATTGTGAATGTGATTGCTTCATTCAGAAACACAGCTACATCCCCAGTTATAAAGGGGTGTGCACACTTATGCAACTACATTATTTTAGTATTTTTTGTTTACTTTCCCTCTAAAAGATTTCAGTTTGTTTTTCAATTGAGTTGTACAGTTCATAGGTCACATTAAAGGTGGTAAAGGTCTGAAATTAGTTATCTTTGTCTCCTTTTTTTACATCACAGAAACCTGACATTTTAACAGGGGTGTGTAGACTTTGTATATCCACTGTATCCAGTATATATAGTGCAGGGGTCAGGAGTATGTATTTCACAATATAGACAGGAGTATATAGTGCAGGGGTCAGGAGTATGTAATGTACAACACAGAGTATATAGTGCAGGGGTCAGGATTAGTATGTAATGTACAACACAGAGTATATAGTGCAGGGGTCAGGAGTATATAATGTACAACACAGAGTATATAGTGCAGGGGTCAGGAGTATGTAATGTACAACACAGAGTATATAGTGCAGGGGTCAGGGATGTAATGTAATGTACAACATAGAGTATATAGTGCAGGGGTCAGGAGTATGTAATGTACAACATAGAGTATATAGTGCAGGGGTCAGGAGTATGTAATGTACAACATAGAGTATATAGTGCAGGGGTCAGGAGTATGTAATGTACAACATAGAGTATATAGTGCAGGGGTCAGGAGTATGTAATGTACAACATAGAGTATATAGTGCAGGGGTCAGGAGTATGTAATGTACAGAATAAATTATACAGTGCAAGGTCAGGCATCATAATATTGGTATTAGTAATCAGGGGAAGATTAAATGTTTACTGTAGACAAGTTGCAGAGATCCCACAACCGCTGCCTCCCATCTCCTGAGACTGCACTCAGTGCAGGGGGTCTGAGACACTACAGACAATATCCCTCACACCCGGCACAGCCAGCATTTAACCACTTGCCGACCGGCCGTTGTATATAAACGGGGTCAGGCCGGACGGTGGCAAGTGCAGGGTCAGGTGGCCGTCAATAAACGGCCTCCCCGCACCCTGCTTGTGCGCGCTCCCTGGGAGAGCGCAGTAGCACCGCGATCCGGTGCCGCTGTGTCCTCCGGACACAGTGAAACACCGATCGTCGGTCACGGGACCTCTGTACGAGGTCCCGATCATGTGATCACTGATTGGCCAATCATGTGATCACATGCAAAGTTGTAAGAAAGATGTCACTTGTGACATCATTGCCTACTACGTGTGTGAAATCTGTGAATGATCACAGAGGTCACATGGTACAAGGCTATTCACAAAAGCCTTGTACCATGTGACAAGCTGTGCCCAATCACAGCTCAATCAGTTTGACTTCTCAATGAGTGCAAGAATGCAGATAAGAGAGAAAGAGAAATGATTGATTTTACATCCTATATGGGTGTAAAAGCAATCAGTGTAAAAAAAAAAAAAAAAATCTTCATCACCCCTCACAAGTAGTACAGTGTACACCATGGTGACACTGTACTGCTGGGTGACAGTATGTAAAGTAATAAAAATAAAAAATAAAAAATAATAATATAAAAAAATAAAATAAAAATGTAAAAAAAAATGTTTAAAAATTATAATTTTTGTTTAGGGGTATAAACTAATTTGATTTTTTTTTTTTTACTATAAAAAGATAACGGAATAAATTTTGGCTAAGATTTATGATGAAATATTATTTATTTGCAAAATTTTATAAAAAAAACACTTTTTTTTCAAAATTTTTGGACATTTCATTTACATAGCAAAAAAAAAATACAAATCCCAGCGGTGAATAAATACCACCAAAATAAAGCTTTATCTATCTCAAAAAAATGGTAAAAAATTAATTTGGGTACAGTGTTGCATGACCGCGCAATTGTCATTCAAAGTGTGGTCTGAGCGCTACTAAAGACAAATCCCTCCCCTGGTCAGGAAGGGGGTAAAAGTGTCCGGTCAGGAAGTGGTTAACAGAGAAGGTCCCCTGGAAGAGTCAGGCACAAGGCAGGAGACCCCAGTCACATGTCCTGGGTGCCTACATTATGCAATGCTTATAGGAAAAATCAACATTTTTCTGCCAGCTGAACCCCAGAACCTCCATAAATCCAGTCTAGATACATAAATTGTGTCTGCAGCACAGAGAAGGAAGATTATCCGAGAGAAATCCAGGAATACAGGACGG